CGAACCCAACCAACCCTACCTAACCTAACCTAACCTATCTTTATAGGTTAGGTTAGGTTAGGTAGCCGAAAAAGTTAGGTTAGGTTAGGTTAGGTAGGTTAGGTAGTCGAAAAAACATTAATTCATGAAAACTTGGCTTATTAGGTAAATCGGGCCTTGCATAGTAGGCTGAGAAGTGCGTTCTGGCTACTAGGTACGACATATATATATATATATATATATATATATATGTGTGTGTGTGTGTGTGTACTCACCTAGTTGTGCTTGCGGGGGTTGAGCTCTGGCTCTTTGGTCCCGCCTCTCAACCGTCAATCAACAGGTGTACAGATTCCTGAGCCTATTGGGCTCTATCATATCTACACTTGAAACTGTGTATGGAGTCAGCCACATCACTTCCTAATGCATTCCATTTGTCAACCACTCTGACACTAAAAAAGTTCTTTCTAATATCTCTGTGGCTCATTTGGGCGCTCAGTTTCCACCTGTGTCCCCTTGTGCGTGTGCCCCTTGTGTTAAATAGCCTGTCTTTATCTACCCTATCAATTCCCTTGAGAATCTTGAATGTGGTGATCATGTCCCCCCTAACTCTTCTGTCTTCCAGCAAAGTGAGGTTTAATTCCCGTAGTCTCTCCTCGTAGCTCATACCTCTCAGCTCGGGTACTAGTCTGGTGGCAAATCTTTGAACCTTTTCCAGTTTAGTCTTATCCTTGACTATTTACGGACTCCATGCTGGGGCTGCATACTCCAGGATTGGCCTGACATATGTGGTATACAAAGTTCTGAATGATTCTTTACACAAATTTCTGAATGCCGTTCGTATGTTGGCCAGCCTGGCATATGCCGCTGATGTTATCCTCTTGATATGCGCTGCAGGAGACAGGTCTGGCGTGATATCAACTCCCAAGTCTTTTTCTTTCTCTGACTCCTGAAGAATTTCCTCTCCCAGATAATACCTTGTATTTGGCCTCCTGCTCCCTGCACCTATCTTCATTATATTACATTTGGTTGGGTTAAACTCTAACAACCACTTGTTCTACCATTCCTGCAGTTTGTCTAGGTCTTCTTGAGGCCTCAAACAGTCCTCTTCTGTCTTAATCCTTCTCATAATTTTGGCATCGTCCGCAAACATTGAGAGAAATGAATCTATACCCTCCGGGAGATCATTTACATATATCAGAAACAAGATAGGACCGAGTACAGAGCCCTGTGGGACTCCACTGGTGACTTCACGCCAATCGGAGGTCTCACCCCTCACCGTAACTCTCTGCTTCCTATTGCTTAGGTACTCCCTTATCCACTGGAGCACCTTACCAGCTACACCTGCCTGTCTCTCCAGCTTATGTACCAGCCTCTTATGCGGTACTGTGTCAAAGGCTTTCCGACAATCCAAGAAAATGCAGTCCGCCCAGCCCTCTCTTTCTTGCTTAATCTGTGTTACCTGGTCATAGAATTCTATTAAGCCAGTCAGGCAAGATTTACCCTCCCTGAACCCATGTTGTCGATTTGTCACGAAGTCCCTTCTCTCCAGATGAGCTACCAGGTTTTTTCTCACGATCTTCTCCATCACCTTGCATGGTATACAAGTTAAGGACACTGGCCTGTAGTTCAGTGCCTCTTGCCTGTCGCCCTTTTTGTATATTGGGACCACATTCGCCGTCTTCCATATTTCTGGTAGGTCTCCCGTCTCCAGTGACCTACTATACACTATGGAGAGTGGCAAGCAAAGTGCCTCTGCACACTCTTTCAGTACCCATGGCGAGATCCCGTCTGGACCAACAGCCTTTCTAACATGTCCGAAACGCTTTGTGTAATAGTAGCTTTAGGCATTGTATGTACTAGCTCTATCTATAAGTCCACCAATCTTTGTAAAAATCTCTTGTATGTATGTACCTTACCTAAATAAACATTTATTTATTTATTTTATCCAGGTCCAGCAGGTGTCTCTTGACCTCCTCTCTCGTAATTTCAAACTCTTCCAAGGCCGCCTAGTTTACTTCCCTTTCTCCTAGTACAGTGACCTCACCTTGTTCTGTTGTGAAGACCTCTTGGAACCTCTTGTTGAGTACATCACACACCTCTTTGTCATTCTCTGTATACTTGTCCTCGCGTGTTCTAAGTTTCACTACCTGTTCTTTCACTGTTGTTTTCCTTCTGATATGACTGTGGAGTAGCTTTGGTTCGGTCTTGGCTTTGTTTGCTATATCATTTTCATAACTTTTCTCTGCTTCTCTTCTCACCCTGACATACTCATTCCTGGTTCTCTGGTATCTCTCTCTGCTTTCTGGTGTTCTGTTATTCCGGAAGTTCCTCCACGCCCTTCTGTTCAGTACCTTTGCTTCCATACATGCCCTATTATACCATGGATTCTTCTTTTGCTTCTCGGATTTTTCCTTTTGGGCCGGGATGTATCTGCTTACTGCCTCCTGACACTTTTGGGTGACATAGTCCATCATATCTTGTACAGACTTAGCTCTGAGGTCTGTGTCCCAAGGTATTTCCCTTAGGAAGCTTCTCATCTCCTCATAATTTCCCTTTCGGTATGCCAGCCTTTTGTTTCCTAGTTCTTTTTTTGGGGGGATAATTCCTAGCTCTACCAGGTACTCAAAGTTCAATACACAGTGATCACTCATTCCCAAGGGCGCTTCCATCTTGACTTCCCTTATATCCCACTCATGTAGGGTAAATATTAGATCAAGCATTGCTGGTTCATCCTCTCCTCTCATTCTCGTTGGATCCTTGATGTGCTGGCTTAGAAAGTTTCTTGTTGCCACGTCCAGCAGCTTAGCTCTCCATGTTTCTGGTCCTCCATGCGGGTCTCTGTTCTCCCAATCTATGTTCCCATGGTTAAAGTCATCCATGATTAGTAGTCCAGATCCATTCCTGCTAGCAACAGAAGCTGCTCTCTCCATTATGTTAATGGTGGCCATATTGTTTCTATCATATTCCTGTCTGGGTCTTCTGTCATTTGGTGGTGGATTATATATGACTACGACTATAATTTTTTGCTCTCCAGTTGTTATTGTTCCTATTATGCACTGAAACCTTCACAGCCCTGAACAACCAATTCCTCGAAATCCCAGCCTTTTCTTACCAGCAGAGCTACACCACCCCCACCTCTTCCTTCTCTTTCTTTCCTCATAACATAATAGTCCTGTGGGAACACTGCATTTGTTATTGTTTTCGTCAGCTTTGTTTCTGTGAGAGCTATTATGTCTGGGTTTTCCTCTAGTACCCATTCTCCAAGTTCATGTGCTTTATTTGTAATACCGTCTATGTTAGTGTACATTGCCTTGAGGCTCACTTTCTTCTGTCCCTTCTCAAATCTCCTCCTTGATGAATGTTCTGCTGGTGGAGGAAGCTGTGCCATGGGTGTGAGGATTTGTTAGGTGGATACCAGGGTTGCAGAGGATACTGGGATGAGGGGTGGGGGGTCAAGTGAAGGGGGAAGATATGTGTGTGTGTGTGTGTGTGTGTGTGTGTGTGTGTGTGTGTGTGTGTGTGTGTGTGTGTACTCACCTATATGTGCTTGCAGGATCGAGCATTGACTCTTGGATCCCGCCTAAAGTTTTAGTAACTCAAAGAGATAATTTCAGCATCTTCTGGAGCTTGCCAGTCACACACACACACACACACACACACACACACACACACACACACACACATTGTGTGTGTGTGTGACTGGCAAGCTCCAGAAGATGCTGAAATTATCTCTTTGAGTTACTAAAACTTTTACCATTTATCAAACCTTAAGGAAGAGGAGCCAAAATCATGAATTGGTTGCATATGGTCACTGGGACGATTTTTGTGCTTATAACTTCCAAAATGCCACTTTTTCACAAACCGTGTCAGTAATGAAATGCTTTTAACTCTCTTGAAGTAGAAAAGCATTCTTTAAAACGCCTTTCAGCAATTGTTCTCATTCTTCCTTATCCTGATATATGTCACTTATCCTGCTCTGTGTACACAACAATGGTGAGCTTTCAAGATGCAATGGTGCAGGTAAATGAGGCTTGTGGGGCTTTTGGAGTGACGAGGTTGGTTATCTCATCGCCAAGGAACTTCAGCTCTTGTTTCTTTCTGACTTTGAAAATATTTTTCTTGGTATGGGTTCCTTCTACACAACAAAATGTTTCATTAACAGCTTAGGCCAGTAACTGGAGGACGGCGGTATTGTTGAAGCACCGATGGAGACTGAAGTATTTGGTCCAAACATGTCTGTGACTGTACCAAAAGGCAGTCACTATTCGAGACGAGTGACGGTTTGGTTATAACTACAGAAGCTCTGCAACGAATACAATTTTCAGAAATTTGTGCCAACACTGAACGTGAGAAATACCACACTTTACCAAGCATAATACACTGGAAGTATCTTGTGTGGAAATGGAACACTTTAGTACGAAGAAGAAAATGGATGATATGCAAGATCTTTTGCAGGGGATCAGTTGGAAATTTACCCCGTATATATAACTATAAAGTTGTGCAGAAAAAAATCATTGTTTGTTGCTATTGGAACACTTTCCTTATGAGCTCTTCCCGTTATTGAGGGATATCATAAGAGCCGATAGCGCTTCTTATTTTTTTTAATAATTTCCTAACATTTTGTCCATGTTGCCACATTCATTCACCTTTGCCGATGTTTTAATTAGTGTGCTGACATATTTTTTACCCTTTTCATTTTCCCGTTTTCATACTCTCTTTCTCGTTCAGTTTGTATCCATAAAGAAAGCATAAATTACTATCATCAACTGATCCTGTCCCCGCCTCACCCAGTAAGCTCTCCTCCTTCTCCCTGTGTGAAGCCCGGTTCATAGTCTCTTGCTCCAATATCACTATGAATACTTTCTCTGTACGCGTTATCAATTTTTATCAAGTTCAATAATAATTTTTTCCTTACCAACCGACTGATAACACCAACACGTGTTATCAGTCACACCTCGAGATAATACAATAAATATTAAAGATATTAAGAGAAATTTGTAAGCAGGTCATAACATACTCACCCTCTCGAGCTTGAGCGGGACGCACTGAGGAAAAGCGTTGAGTCCTTTGTTAAGCTGTCGCACCACGAACTGGCCGACCGTTTTGAGCCGCTTGTCCGTAGCGTCCACCTCCGTCGTCAGCTGGCAGGCGCAGAAGTGTTCGCTGACCGAGGCATCCTTGCATGTCCTCTCCAGCGGCACCTCCCGGAACAGGCTTTGACCGTGCACGGATGCTGTGGGTCTGGTGAGGTACACAGTCGGTATTAAGACATTGGCGAGAATCACATCACACCTTACGGGCTACTCATGCCCGTGCCACCTCTTGGGTGGCTTAATCTTCAACAGTCACTCAATTACCACACTGGCAGACATGAACACACACCCTTGGGCTTGATGGCTGTCATCAATACTCTCCTAACTACGCTCCAGAAATCTTGCCCAGCAATATGGGTGAAGGAAATTGTAAGTAATGTTAGTGGTCCATTAACTGTACACACATGAAGGAAATGTGGTAGAAGAGACAAAGACACTTCAGACAAAAGAGTTGTTACTCCTGGTCTCCCTTGCTCAGGTGGCATCCATCTTTGTTTACAAATGAAGTAGGGAATGCGTTCCATGGATGAGTAGTGTCACTCCCTCTGGATGTGGTGTGGCGGTTGTAGGAGTCCCCAGGGACGAGCACGTGTCTCAGGAGTCCCCAGGGACGAGCACGTGTCTCGTGAGTCCCCCAGGGACGAGCACGTGTCTCGGGAGTCCCCAGGGACGAGAACGTGTCTCGTGAGTCCCCAGGGACGAGCACGTGTCTCGGGAGTCCCCAGGGACGAGCACGTGTCTCGGGAGTCCCCAGGGACGAGCACGTGTCTCGGGAGTCCCCAGGGACGAGCACGTGTCTCGGGAGACCCCAGGGACGAGCACGTGTCTCGGGAGTCCGCAGGGATGAGCACGTGTCTCGGGAGTCCACTGTGACGAGCACGTATCTCGGGAGTCCCCCAGGGACGAGCACGTGTCTCGGGAGTCCCCAGGGACGAGCACGTGTCTCGGGAGTCCCCAGGGACGAGCACGTGTCTCGGGAGTCCCCAGGGACGAGCACGTGTCTCGGGAGTCCCCCCAGGGACGAGCACGTATCTCGGGAGTCCCCCAGGGACGAGCACGTGTCTCGGGAGTCCCCCAGGGACGAGCACGTGTCTCGGGAGTCCCCAGGGACGAGCACGTGTCTCGGGAGTCCCCAGGGATGAGCACGTGTCTCGGGAGTCCCCCAGGGACGAGCACGTATCTCGGGAGTCCCCCAGGGACGAGCACGTGTCTCGGGAGTCCCCAGGGACGAGCACATGTCTCGGGAGTCCCCAGGGATGAGCACGTGTCTCGGGAGTCCCCCAGGGACGAGCACGTGTCTCGGGAGTCCCCCCAGGGACGAGCACGTGTCTCGGGAGTCCCCAGGGACGAGCACGTGTCTCGGGAGTCCCCAGGGATGAGCACGTGTCTCGGGAGTCCCCCAGGGACGAGCACGTATCTCGGGAGTTCCCCAGGGACGAGCACGTATCTCGGGAGTCCCCAGGGACGAGCACGTGTCTCGGGAGTCCCCCAGGGACGAGCACGTGTCTCGGGAGTCCACTGTGACGTGTGTAGGGAAAATGTAAATGTAACGGATACCTGTCGCCCTGGGATGCATCATTACAAGGTGTGGTGTTGCAACATTACAAGGTGTGGTGTTGTAACATTACAAGGTGTGGTGTTGCAACATTACAAGGTGTGGTGTTGTAACATTACAAGGTGTGGTGTTGCAACATTACAAGGTGTGGGGTTGTAACATTACAAGGTGTGGTGTTGCAACATTACAAGGTGTGGGGTTGTAACATTACAAGGTGTGGTGTTGCAGCATTACAAGGTGTGGTGTTGCAACATTACAAGGTGTGGTGTTGCAACATTACAAGGTGTGGTGTTGTAACATTACAAGGTGTGGTGTTGCAACATTACAAGGTGTGGGGTTGTAACATTACAAGGTGTGGTGTTGCACCATTACAAGGTGTGGTGTTGCAGCATTACAAGGTGTGGTGTTGCAACATTACAAGGGACGGTGTTGCAGCAATACAAGGGTCGGTGTTGCAACATTACAAGGGACGGTGTTGCAACATTACAAGGGACGGTGTTGCAACATTACAAGGGTCGGTGTTGCATCATTACAAGGGTCGGTGTTGCAACATTACAAGGGACGGTGTTGCAACATTACAAGGGACGGTGTTGCAACATTACAAGGTGTGGTGTTGTAACATTACAAGGTGTGGTGTTGTAACATTACAAGGTGTGGTGTTGCAACATTACAAGGGTCGGTGTTGCATCATTACAAGGGTCGGTGTTGCAACATTACAAGGGACGGTGTTGCAACATTACAAGGGACGGTGTTGCAACATTACAAGGTGTGGTGTTGCAACATTACAAGGGACGGTGTTGCATCATTACAAGGGACGGTGTTGCATCATTACAAGGGACGGTGTTGCAACATTACAAGGGACGGTGTTGCAACATTACAAGGGACGGTGTTGCATCATTACAAGGGACGGTGTTGCAACATTACAAGGGACGGTGTTGCAACATTACAAGGGTCGGTGTTGCAACATTACAAGGGACGGTGTTGCAACATTACAAGGGACGGTGTTGCATCATTACAAGGGACGGTGTTGCATCATTACAAGGGTCGGTGTTGCATCATTACAAGGGACGGTGTTGCATCATTACAAGGGTCGGTGTTGCATCATTACAAGGGACGGTGTTGCATCATTACAAGGGTCGGTGTTGCATCATTACAAGGGACGGTGTTGCAACATTACAAGGGACGGTGTAGCAACACTACAAGGGACGGTGTTGCAACATTACAAGGGACGGTGTAGCAACACTACAAGGGACGGTGTTGCATCATTACAAGGGACGGTGTTGCAACATTACAAGGGACGGTGTTGCATCATTACAAGGGACGGTGTTGCAACATTACAAGGGACGGTGTAGCAACACTACAAGGGACGGTGTTGCAACATTACAAGGGACAGTGTTGCATCATTACAAGGGACGGTGTTGCATCATTACAAGGGTCGGTGTTGCAACATTACAAGGGACGGTGTTGCAACATTAGAAGGGACGGTGTTGCAACAATACAAGGGACGGTGTTGCAATAATACAAGGGACGGTGTTGCATCATTACAAGGGACGGTGTTGCATCATTACAAGGGTCGGTGTTGCATCATTACAAGGGTCGGTGTTGCATCATTACAAGGGACGGTGTTGCAACATTACAAGGGACGGTGTTGCATCATTACAAGGTGTGGTGTTGCATCATTACAAGGGACGGTGTTGCAACATTACAAGGGACGGTGTTGCAACATTACAAGGGTCGGTGTTGCATCATTACAAGGGTCGGTGTTGCATCATTACAAGGTGTGGTGTTGCATCATTACAAGGGTCGGTGTTGCATCATTACAAGGTGTGGTGTTGCATCATTACAAGGGTCGGTGTTGCATCATTACAAGGGACGGTGTTGCATCATTACAAGGGACGGTGTGGCATCATTACAAGGTGTGGTGTTGCATCATTACAAGGGACGGTGTTGCATCATTACAAGGGACGGTGTTGCATCATTACAAGGGTCGGTGTTGCATCATTACAAGGGTTGGTGTTGCATCATTACAAGGGACGGTGTTGCATCATTACAAGGGACGGTGTTGCAACATTACAAGGGACAGTGTTGCATCATTACAAGAGACGGTGTTGCATCATTACAAGGGTCGGTGTTGCATCATTACAAGGGACGGTGTTGCATCATTACAAGGGACGGTGTTGCATCATTACAAGGGACGGTGTTGCATCATTACAAGGGTCGGTGTTGCATCATTACAAGGGACGGTGTTGCATCATTACAAGGGACGGTGTTGCATCATTACAAGGGTCGGTGTTGCAACATTACAAGGGACAGTGTTGCATCATTACAAGGTGTGGTGTTGCATCATTACAAGGGACGGTGTTGCATCATTACAAGGGACGGTGTTGCATCATTACAAGGGACGGTGTTGCATCATTACAAGGTGTGGTGTTGCATCATTACAAGGGACGGTGTTGCATCATTACAAGGGACGGTGTTGCATCATTACAAGAGACGGTGTTGCAACATTACAAGGGACGGTGTTGCAACATTACAAGGGACGGTGTTGCATCATTACAAGAGACGGTGTTGCAACATTACAAGGGACGGTGTTGCAACATTACAAGGGACGGTGTTGCATCATTACAAGAGACGGTGTTGCAACATTACAAGGGACGGTGTTGCAACATTACAAGGGTCGGTGTTGCAACATTACAAGGGACGGTGTTGCAACAACACAAGGGACGGTGTTGCATCATTACAAGGGTCGGTGTTGCAACATTACAAGGGACGGTGTTGCAACAATACAAGGTGTGGTGTTGCAGCATTACAAGGGACGGTGTTGCAACAATACAAGGGACGGTGTTGCATCATTACAAGGGACGGTGTAGCAACATTACAAGGTGTGGTGTTGCAGCATTACAAGGAACGGTGTTGCAACATTACAAGGGACGGTGTTGCAACATTACAAGGGACGGTGTTGCATCATTAGAAGGGACGGTGTTGCATCATTACAAAGGACGGTGTTGCAGCATTACAAGGGACGGTGTTGCATCATTACAAGGGACGGTGTTGCATCATTACAAGGTGTGGTGTTGCATCATTACAAGGGACGGTGTTGCATCATTACAAGGGACGGTGTTGCATCATTACAAGGGACGGTGTTGCATCATTACAAGGGACGGTGTTGCAACATTACAAGGGACAGTGTTGCATCATTACAAGGGACGGTGTTGCATCATTACAAGGTGTGGTGTTGCATCATTACAAGGGTCGGTGTTGCAGCATTACAAGGGACGGTGTTGCATCATTACAAGGGACGGTGTTGCATCATTACAAGGGACGGTGTTGCATCATTACAAGGGACGGTGTTGCATCATTACAAGGGACGGTGTTGCATCATTACAAGGGACGGTGTTGCATCATTACAAGGGACGGTGTTGCATCATTACAAGGTGTGGTGTTGCATCATTACAAGGGACGGTGTTGCATCATTACAAGGGACGGTGTTGCATCATTACAAGGGTCGGTGTTGCAACATTACAAGGGTCGGTGTTGCAACATTACAAGGGACGGTGTTGCAACATCACAAGGGACGGTGTTGCATCATTACA